TGGTAACACCCAACAAAGTGTAAATAACGTAGTGCAATTTGCAAAGGACGAGAGTATGGAACTGAATGGGAAAAAATGTAAAGAAATGCTAATTGATTTTCGGAAGAAGAAAACAGAAATGCCACTGATTAATATTGGCGACGATAAAATATCCCGTGTAAAGTCGTATAAATTGTTAGGAATATGGATAGACGATGACATGAGATGGAAAACCAACACTGAGTACATTGTAAAAAAAGGCGCTAAGCGACTTTACCTCTTGAAGTTTTAAAGAGTTATGGTGCACCAAAAAATGACCTATTAGCTTTCTATTGTACAGTAATTCGTTCTGTTCTAGAGTATGGTGTACAAATCTGGAGTGGTGGTCTGACACAAATGCATAAGAAAAACATAGAAAGAATCCAAAAACGAGCCCTCCGAATAATTTATCCTGGCCTTTGTGATTATGGACTTCTATTATCTCAGAGCAATCTGCTGACCTTAGAAGAACGCAGAAACAATTTATGTGCCTCCTTAATTGAGAACATGTTACAACCATCACACAGACTTCACGGACTATTGCCAAAGAAACTGAGTGACATCAGGGAAAGAGAGACTAGGACAAATGGTGAAAAGATTTATAACTTTTTTTGCAACACTGAACGTTTTAGAAACAGCCCTGTAGTTCATGCTATTAATGAATATAATTTTAAATTAGAAAAGTAAGACTTATATACATTTTATACAATTCCATATATATATATATATATATATATATATATATATATAAACGATTTTAATATACATATAGGTCCATTGATGTAAATAGTTTTAAATAAGTAATAATTCTAATTAATTCTAATTAATATCTGACGATGTAAACACTTTGTAATTTAGCTTTTTGCTATTGAACGTGTATTAATAAACCCACTATAACCCACTATTATATTCAAGCCAAAATTCCAAAGTCTGCATCAAAATGATAACGGGAAAACGCTGGGTAAAGCCATACAGACAAACAGCCGGTCACAAATTAAAGTTTGATGGTACTTCGGCTTGATCTTTCCAGGCCTACAAGCGAGCTGTCCCAATCTCATGCCACGAACAAAAAGCACTGATGTAAGGTTGGCCAGACCTTGCACCTGTGCTAGTTGATCACGACAATCGATCAGAGCAACTCGACTGTAGGTCGGGAAAGTCCGAGCCGAAGTACCACCGAACCTCGACGAATGGCCGGCCACTCATCTGGCATGATTTTACCTAGCGCTCAAACCAAATAGCAAAGTGATGTAAATTTCAAAATTTCATTTCAAATATCTTTCAAATAAACAAACTCCCAGATAGAACCTTCCGAATTTCAAACATTTCGATTTCGTTAAGGGCTTATCACAAATACCAAGAAATGTGAAAAATTTGAATAAATTGCGAAATTAAGGAAAAATGCCACATTAATTGAAATTTGTTTTGTGCATTTGGGCGTCCTCAGGGTGGCCCCCACGTACTTTCGAACAGGACCAACGAGAATCAAGAGATATACCTTCTGTAATGTACGGCATCTTTCACGCCTATTTCATAGGCTGGTATAGGTAGGCAATCCCTCATGCCAGTCTTGGAAACGATGGTGCAGAGCATTGGCTAGGGTCCCTGGATGGCACCCGTTCACAATAGGCTGACTGAGATACGGTGTATCTACTTTCGAGCATTCCGTCACCGGCATTCCGGTATGAAGTTTTACTGTCTCTTCCAAACATGGTACAAACGAAATGCGACGATGAATGCTGTGGGTTAGCTGATGGTTGTTTTCAATCGGCCTTTGCCTTCTCGTTTTGCTTCGACTGCTGGGCAAACGTCTCTTCAAATCTGCGCAGAGGTCTTTCTGTACTGTTTGGCATCAAGATAATCGAACTTGAGGCAATCTAAAAAGTTGGATAATTAATTTTAGTTTTAACAGTGAAGAGATATTTAATGTCGTTTACACAGGGTGTGGTTGTCCAATTTATTTTAATTTTAAAGAATGCGTGCATGTATGCATAAAATTAGGACATGAACCACGAGGACATTTTTATCTCTGAGCTTCTTCAAAAGATTTCGAATAAATTCAACTAAGACAACGTCAAAAAACTCAAAAAGCTTAGCTTTCCCTCTCTGAGTACAATTTGTACATAAACGACAAGTTTGTAGAAGCTAATATGTTTGAAATGCATGTCGAATTGAACATGCCTAAAATGAGTCGGTATTTCGCTCTGTGCGGACAAAATTTCAACTAATTTGACAAAGAATGTTCATATTAAGCTACAAGGCTTTACCAGAAGACGTTCTAGATGTATAAAGGAAGCTTAATTAAAAAAAATAAGAAGGAAACGCCTTTAGTGGACATTATGCGTACCAAGTACTTCGCCTTTTCGACCATATCGGCGACATAAATTAGTTCACTTTCTCGTCAAATTTTCGCCCTGAAATTGCAGATAAACTAAATATGAGTTTAAGTAAATCGAATCTGGGGTATTTCTGAACATTACTGCTAGAAAATGAGAGAGAAACGGCAAAGAAACAAAGCGACTAAGCTCCGAAACGAAGCGCTTGAATTCAATACATATTAATACAATGAATACTATACACACGAGGTTCGAAAAGCAACTAAAACTTAACAAGAACAACTCAAAAACGTTTTAAAAACAGCTAAATTTAATACTGACCTTTCCCTCGTCATGGTGTACCGATTTTATTTCGAATAAGTTTCATAAAAGCGAAGTTTGGTTGCAGTAACTTTAACTGTGTCATTTGTGTGCTCTCTCAACTTCGAAGCCACTGTGGCCTCGAGCAGAAATATTCAAATTTGCCACGGAATGCGTAAAGCCGTGAACCACACACCATTGTTTGTTATTATCAGATTTTTACGAGCTCTGATTGGTTTAGCTTGCAAAAGCTTTGCTATCATTGGCTACCGCTAAACGCATGCATTGCTCTGAACTCCCTTGGGGTTTGGAATTCCTGATCTGTCAAACTCATAATGGCAAAGCCGTAATCTGAAAAACCTGGACTGAAAAAAGCGCTCTTTAAAGATTTGGGGGCTTTTGGACTTGGGATTTTACAGATTCGGGGGTTTCTCGATTCCCAGTTTAAAGATTCGGGGTTTTTTTCGATTCCCAGTTTAAAGATTCGGGGTTTTTTCGATTCCCAGTTTCAAGATTCGGGGTTTTTTTGATTCCCAGTTTAGAGATTCGGGGGTTTATCGATTCCCAGTTTAAAGATTCGGGGCTTTTTTGATTCCCAGTTTAAAGATTCGGGAGGGGGGGGGGCGGGGTTTGATTTCGGATTTTAAAGATTCCGGGGGTTTTCGATTCCCAGTTTAAAGACTCGGGGTTTTTTTATTTCCAGTTTAAAGATGCGGGGTTTTTGGATTCCGGATTTTAAAGATTCGGGGGTTTTCCGATTCCCAGTTTAAAGATTCGGGGGGTTTTCGATTCCCAGTTTAAAGATTCGGGGGTTTTTTGATTCCCAGTTTAAAGATTCGGGGGTTTTTTTTATTCCCAGTTTAAAGATTCGGGGGGTTTTCGATTCCCAGTTTAAAGATTCGGGGGATTTTCGATTCCCAGTTTAAAGATTCTTGGCTTTTTTTATTCCCAGTTTAAAGATTCGGGGGGTTTTGGATTCGGGATTTTAAAGATTCGGGGGGTTTTCGATCCCCATTTTAAAGATTCGGGGGTTTTTCGATTCCCAGTTTAAAGATTCGTGGGGTTCTCGATTCCCCGGTTCTCGATTTAAAAAAGCGGA